AAGTCATTTTTGCATCATATGGTATCAAGGGTAGTATCAATAAGGTGACCTCATGGTTAATGTTGAATTGGTCAAGGTCAAGGTTTTTGCCAGGTTTCTCTACGGGGAAGTTATGTTTTTCCCCTTCCTATACTGTGCTCTTCAGAAGGAACACAGCCCTCAGCTAAAGAGTGGGGTGGGGGGGTTTGCTTCACCACCTCAGGGGCACAGTATTACATAAATTATTTGGAATTCTTCTGCATGTGAGATTTGTCTCTCCTCCCTTATATACTTCCCATATCAGGGATTGGACCTAGGGGTGCTCTATACCACTGGTCTTCTAGTTTGAAACAGCTTCACTAAGGTGTCAAGGCTGGCCTCAAACTTGTGATCCTCCTGTCTCAGCCTCCTGAGTACCTGGACAGACACGTACGTACCACTGTGCCAGACTCAATCATTTATGTATTTATTTATTTATTTATTGTAGTGCTGGGGATTGAACTCTGGGCCTTATGCATGCAAGGCAAGCACTCTACCAACTGAGCTATATCCCCAACCCTCAATCATTTATTTATATCAATATTAACTCATGTCCTGCCCACTTCCCACGCAGGCGGTAGGGTCAGAGTTCCTCTGCATGGAGTGAACTGGCTGTGAAATAAAGCTAAGAAAGGAAGGTGGTGGAAATCCACACTACACAGAAAGGAACTTTGAACAGCGAGGGCCACCGGCTCTACCACCCTTTGGGGTCCAGCTTCCACAGTGGAGAGAGAGAAAGACCSAGTTCAGTTTATTTACACAAGGGAGTTTCAAAGGTGTTCTTCAGAGTGTTCTTCACCAATAAGGCAGGAGCTGGGCTGACCAAACCCAGAGGGTTACGTCCAATTCCAGAGCTAGGAGAGCTGTGTGATAGATAGAGACGTCACGCCTCGTGCAGTCTACCCTCGGGAATGCCGGGATTGTTCCCAAGGGGAGACCTAGGGCCCCCATAGCTCAGCACAGAGTAAAAGACCACTCAAGTAGCTTCATGGGGGGCGACCACGCGCATGATGTCTATTTATTCTATGGATCATAATCCAGTACAACCTCATTTCTCCTTTGTATTTTCTATTTATTTTGTTGCTCAAATTGTCCCAACTTTGGCCATTGGGAGCTCCTGAGTCCTTTTGGTATAGCCCTTTAAGTGTAGTTTTTGAGCAATTTGGGAAGATTAGATATAAATAAATGCCACCATGATGGGGTTTTAACTCAGTAGCAAAGCACTTGCCTAGCAGGCAAGAGGCCCTGGGTTCTCCCCCAGTATGGCAAAAAAAAAAAAAAAAAAAAAAAAAAAAAGCCACAAAACTACTACCAAATCCAGACAGTGAAACAGTGAGTATCTTCATCACCTCACAAAGATCTCCCAAGGATCTCCTCTTGCCCCTTCTATAATCCACCCCTCCTGCTCTCCTCCATGACTTTCCCACCCCAGGCAACTCTGGCCACAGACTAGTTCGCATCCCCTGTTCGGATGGTATCTGCAGTGAGGATTCTTCACTGTCCRCCTCTTTCACTCAGCATAATTCTGTTTTTTTTTTTTTTTAATTGCGGGGGGGTTCTAGGATTGAACCCAGGGGGACTCGACCACTGAGCCCCATCCCCAACCTATTTTGTGTTTTATTTAGTGACAGGGTCTCACCGAGTTCCTTAGTACCTTGCAGTTGCTAAGGCTGGCTTTGAACTTGCGATCCTCCTGCCTCAGCCTCCCTAGCTGCTGGGATTACAGGTGTGCGTGGCATGATTCTTGTGCATCTCATCCCTTCTGTAGGTCCTGGGTCCGATGAGGGCAGTGAGACACTCAGAGCCCCCCTGAAGTGTTGGGGAGGGGCAGATGGCAGAGTGAGCCCTGGGGAGTCGTGGAGTGGGCAGGAGCTGGCAGGACTCCTGGGGTCCCCATTGGCCACCATGGCCGGAACAGAAGGCAAGAAAGGAGCCAGGTGGGAAGGATGGCAGGTTGGTAGTTGTGGCAGCACTGAAGTGAGGGGTCCTGGGGGACAACCAGTCTATCCCAGAGGGAGTTGTAAATGCAGGCCTGGAGTTAGGATAAGGCTGAGCTGAGGACACAGGTTAGGTCCTTCAGAACAGAGATGGTGACAGAAACCAGGGGAGAGAGGTATGGCCAAGGATGTGAGCACTGACCTCCAAGGGGCTAGGACTAAACCCTGAAGAACTCAATTTTCTTGCAGAAGAGGAGAGGACAGAGGTGACTGGAAAGCATGTCCAGAGAGGCTAAAGGTAAACCAGTAGCGGTGGGGTCACAGAGATACAGAGGGGCTTGTGACTGTACTGCTGGCCCCCAGGAAGGTGGCCACCCAGGAAGGTGGTTACAGAAGTTCAGCCCAAAATGGGGCTCATGGGCTGGCAAGGTCTGGGTTCTGCCTACACAGAAGCTCCACTGTTTCCTGTGTGCAAGAACCTGTGGGCCTGRCTACCTGTTCCCAGGGATCCCTGCAGCAACAGAGAAGAACGCACCTGTCTTAGTCTGTTCCTGCTGCTATTAACAAAAATTCCACACACCAGGGGTGGTGGTGCATGCCAGGAATCCCAGCAACTCGGGAGGCTGAGACAGGAGGATTGTGAGTTCAAAGCCAGACTCAGCAACTTAGACCCTAAGAAACTACGTGAGCCTCGACTCTGCATAAAATGGAAAAAGGGCTGGAGCTGTGGCTCGGTGGTCAAGTGCCTCTGGGTTCATACCTGGTAAAAACAAAAGCCACAGACTGGGTTATTTAAAAATGATATGGATTCATTGCCCACACTTCTGGAAGCTGGAAAGTCAGGGTCAGTGTCTGGCCAGTTCCCCATGCTTGGCACTGTGCAGGTGTCCTCGCCATAATGGAATGGGTGGAAGGCAAAAAAGGTCTGACTAGTTCCCTGGAGCCCCTTCACGAGTACTAATTCCATTCATGAGAGGTGGTTTAATGACCTCCTCAAATGCTCACCTCTTAACACTGTCACACTGGGTATTAAGTTCCTGCTTATAGATTTTGGGGGAATAGTAGCAATAGTCAGCATTCTGCCCCTTCATCTGGCCTTCAGGGGAGGATGAGGGCGAGACTCGATCAGGAAGCAGTCAAGGAGGAGAAAAGCCAGGGAAGGAGCAGAGAGAAAGGGTGGGGTAGGAGCAGGGCTGGTGTAGAGGATTGGGTTGGGTGCAATCAGGGACAGGCTGGGGCTGAGAGATAGTTAGGGATGGGGCCTCAGGCCCAGACTGAACTCCCCTTTCCCTTATTTAGCCCGGAGATTCACTCAGACTTGAGTCTAGGTCTTCATCCTGCTCAGCTACAGCTTGTTCCTCTGCCCTGAGGCCCCGTGGGCATTAAGCAGATGGCCCAGTGCTGGAATGAATTGAGAGGCACCACAGGGACCAAGGGCAGTGAGGCAGAACCAGCACTGTACAGCAAGCCAAGAGCTGTCTTGGTCAAGAGGACAAAAAGAGAAGAAATTTGCCTTGGCAGATGAACTGGGCATTGGGTTTCCTTCCTAGATTTAGTAAAGGATAAAGCATCCTATCCTAGGGTGGAGCAGCTGCTGGGTGGGCAAAAAATAGGGGTGTCTCAAGCATCAGTCTCATATCAATCTCAACAGCCTCTCCCCATTCATTTTTCCCCCACTTAATTCAAACACATCTCAATGCAGGAGATATCTTTCATTATTCCTGCATTGCAAGTGGGAAAACTCAAATTGGAGAAGGCAAAGAGAGGTGATGGTTGATGGTTCTCCTGCTCCCCAGCAGTGCTGTGGCTGCAACAGGCTGTAAAACAGGTCACACCAACAAAGCCAGGTGGCTAGGGACACGGATCAGTGCCTCCAGCTAAGCCAAGCCAGTCAAGCTCCATTAGGTCCCTCTCAAAGTCTTGATCTCCCTAGGGGCTAAAGGAAATAGCTGGAACAAATCTCAAATGGGCGACATCCCTGAATCTGCCTGTTTCCCATTTTGTAAAAGGTGCTCTCGATTCTCCAGTGTTGCGGTTCCCAGAGACCAGTTGGCCCAGCACCTCGGACGCGGTGCCTACAACTCAGTGTCCATGGGAATACTGGGAGGATTCTTCGAGCTCTTCCAGGTCCCTGTCMTGGCTCCAGTTCTTTCTGGGAAAGCAAAGCAGCCCCTGAGTCACCTGCTTCTCCTAAGCCACTGTCCTCGCCTTGGGCTCCCATCTCCACCCGCAAGCCCAGACTCCATGGGGGCCAGACATTGCGGCCTCAGGTCCCAAGGTAGAGGCAGTGGCAGAACCCTAGGCAGAGTGGGTGGAAGGCGGAGACGGAGCGGGGCGGAGCCCAGGCACGCCCCGCCCCTCCGGATCTCCGCCAGCCACGCCCCTCCGGGCCGCCAGGTGGGGCCTTCCCAGGGCTGCCCTCCGAGAAGCCTAGACGGTGGAGGCTCGGGCGCTCAGCCTGGGTGAGCGAGCCCGGCGGTGAGGCGCGGCCACCCAGACTCCTGCTCTGCCCCATCTGCCCGGGGGCCTCCGGGCCGGCCAGCCGGCGCTGCGCGTGGGCTGCCTGAGACACGTGGTTTCCTAGGCCCCGCTTTGGGTTTGGAAAAGTTTATGGTTTGGGTTACCGCAGAGGTGTACTCGGGAGGGCAGAAAGAGCTCGAATCGCCGCCACCTCGGGTCGGGCCCCCACCGCGGCCTTCACTGAAGCCGGGGCCCTTTCCTTGACGGTCGTCAGGATTCAATCTCTTTCGAATGGGTGCACACTGCAGAAGAGGCTAACCACGTATCGCAGGCTGGCACGCAGGTACGCGCCGATCACCGCCRACACCTGTTGCAGACGCACCCTCGGAAGCCAGAGGCCTTGAGTCGCTTCCAGACACCCCCGGGTGTACTTCTGCGGCTCTGGTTGGCACACACGGCTAATCCGAATAGGGCTGCCGGTCCCAGCTCGGCGTCACCATCACCCTAGGCAACCCGCCCGGCTTCCGGAACCCGGCCCTTTAAGGAGAGCCCGAGCCTGCGCGTCTTGGTTTCGCGCGCCCGCCCGTGGCTTCGGAGGAACGAACATGGCCCAGGCGGCGCGGGCGGCKSGGGCGGCTCGGGCGCTGTGGCCCGGTCGGTGCGCGTTGGCAGAGAGGCTGGGCGGCCGCCCCTGGCCACCATTCCTCGCGCAGAGCCGGGCGGGCTTCGCGGGGGCTGCTGGTGGCCCGGGGACCCCTGCCGCCGCCGCCCGCAAGGGGAGCCCGCGGCTACTGGGGGCGGCGGCGCTAGCCCTGGGGGGCGCCCTGGGGCTGTACCACACCGCACGGTGGCACCTGCGCGCCCAGGACCTCCGCGCCGAGCGCTCAGCCGCCCAGGTAAGGCCTGGCTGGGCTGTGGATGGAGATTCTGGGATCAGCGACGAAACTAGACTCCTGGGAACCAGTGGGGTCGGGAGTCGCCTCCTCCGCCTGCTTGTGACCTTGGGCTAGCGACTCGGCCTTAGGTGTCAACCGGCAGCCTCCTCATCTGTAAAATGGGGACGCGACTGCTGCTTACTAGCCCAGAACTGTGTGTATTTCTCATGAAATCGTTGTGTCTGAAGCAGCAGCACTTTCATGGAACTAGTGACCCTTTGACTCCAGGCCCTGAAATGAAGGTGTCCCTCCAGCCGGGTGGTGACTCAGCCACCCCTGAGAGCTTGTAGGCTGCACCACTACAGCCCCCTCCTCACTCGGATGCCCCTTTCCTGACCTGGGGTGGGGAGTGGATTAGGCGTGGCACCCTGCCCACCTGTGTCCAGTCCCGGGTTTCCCCTGGGAACCCAACCCTGAGGGAGGTGGTCCTGGCGGCCCTGGTCAGCCCTCCCCCTTGCAGAATTGAGATGGACCAACTGAATTGTGCTGGCCTGGGTACCAAATAGCTCTGTCCCCTCACCCAGAGGTCCCTGGGGTTGGTCCACTGCCGCTGGAGAGAGGCACAGCCTGGGACCGTCCTTTGGGACTGGAGGGAGACCGTCAGTGTCTGCACAGTGTTGGGCAGAGACACTGGAGGGTTCTTCTAAGCAGACCTTCCACAGGTGCTGGCCCTGCCCTGAGGCCTGCCAGCTGGCGGCCTACACCTGGGCCATCCGCCACGGCAGCCCCTTCCCTGCCTGCCACCCTGTTCTCCCCGTATTCTCAGGGTCAACTCAAAAGACTCCCTGGGAAAGGTGTCTGCCCAGGTGGGGCCTGGGCAGGGGTGCCAGGCCTCAGAAGCCCCTCCTCTGCTCCCCCTCAGCTCTCCTTGTCCAGCCGCCTGCAGCTGACCCTGTACCAGTACAAGACATGTCCCTTCTGCAGCAAAGTCCGTGCCTTCCTGGACTTCCATGCCCTGCCTTACGAGGTGGTGGAGGTGAACCCTGTGCGCCGGACTGAGATCAAATTCTCCTCATACAGGAAGGTGCCCATCTTGGTGGCCCAGGACGGAGACAGCTTGGTGAGCCTCAGGGACTCCCCACCCTGCTCTGTCTTGGGTTGACTCTGGCCCTGTGGTGCATGGCTGGGCCCAGACACAGGGGTCCCCGGCTCCTGCCCCCACCATTAGCCACACTTGGTTGCCCTGAGGCAGAAAGGGCCTGAGGGAAGGGAGGGCCAAGCTCAGGGGGCATTGGTTTTGGGGACCAGTCCTTGAGGGTGGATAAACAGGGTTCAGGTCCCACACAACCAGTTCACTCACAGCCCTGGTGTCTGTTTTTAGGAGCCAGTGGGTCCTACCAGTTCCAGCCAGAACCTTTGATCCAAACCTCCTCTTCTCTTTCAGCAACAACTGAACGATTCCTCTGTCATTATCAGTGCCCTCAAAACCTACTTGGTGTCTGGGTAAGGAGTCCCTGGGAAGCCCTGGTAGGCGGGGGTGGGTGCTGCTGAGATTTCCAGAATGGGCCAGTGTTGTCCTCCCCTGAGACCTCTGTCAGGGACTTGCTCCCGGTGTCTAACCCAAATCCTTTTTGCTTCATGAGGGTGAAGAGCCTTTATGGGTCAGTCCTGGCTCCAGCTGGGCTGGGTGAGGCTGGGTTGGTGGGCCAGGGGACAGGAGAAGGAAGGAGCTGGTGAGAATGTGGCTCTCTCTCACAGGCAGCCCCTGGAAGAGGTCATCACCTATTACCCACCCATGAAGTCTATGAATGACCAGGGCAAGGAGGTGACCGAGTTCTGCAACAAGTACTGGCTCATGCTGGATGAGAAGGAGGCCCAGCGCATGTATGGTGGCAAGGAGGCGAGGACGTGAGTGGGACCGGGGCCTCCTGGGGTAGTGGCGAGGACTGTGTGGGAGAGCGTGGGAGGCCACCACCCCGGGAGTGTGGGCAGGCTGTGGGGAGCCTTCCGCTCCTGCACTCCAGGCCCTGGCTCGGGAAGTCCACTTGCCCTGATGTCCTTCTTGGGCCTGCAGGGAGGAGATGAAGTGGCGGCAGTGGGCGGACGACTGGCTGGTGCACCTCATCTCGCCCAACGTGTACCGCACGCCTGCCGAGGCCCTGGCCTCCTTCGACTACATCGTCCGTGAGGGCAAGTTCGGGGCCCTGGAGGGCACCATGGCCAAATACGCGGGCGCAGCCGCCATGTACCTCATCAGCAAGCGCCTCAAGAGCAGGTGATGGCGTGTGCATGTGCCCTGAGGCATGACCCTCTGTGTGCTGGTCCCGTTAACCCCTGGGGAGGATGGCGGGAGATGGGGCCCAGAGGAGGCCAGGCAGGATGGAGCCCAGAGGAGGCAAGGCGTGACTGGGGCCACTGGAGGCAAGGCAGGACGGGTCCAGCACGCCTGATCCCCTTGGGGACTGAAGCCAGGGCTCTGCCTCATGCCTTCCTCCACTCCTATACTCGGGGTGAGTCACTGCCCCTTACCCCATCTGGGACATCTCTGCAGGTGCCTCCCGTCATGTGGGGGCCTCCCTGCTCACCCAGCCTTCCCACTCCCCAGAGGAGGCCCCGCTTCCACCTGGGCCAGGGAGCGTCCTCCTGATGGGACCCCCTGCTCCTGCCAGGCACCACCTCCGGGATGACGTGCGGGAGGACCTCTATGAGGCGGCGAACAAGTGGGTGGCAGCAGTCGGCGGAGACCGGCCCTTCATGGGGGGCCAGACGCCCAACCTCGCTGACCTGGTGGGTGTAGTGCTGGCGGGCAGTGCCCAGATGAGGCCTTGGGGTGGGGGACTGGAAGGAAAGCCCAGGCCATGGCTGTGACCACCCAGAGGCAGCTGTGTGCCCCCGCTCAGGGGCAGAGACCCAGCTCAGAGTGGCCTAAGGGAAAAGCCGACTACAAGGAACTGTCCTGTTCCCATAACTGACAAGTCCAGGGGAGGGGTGGGTTTTAGGCCTGGCTGGATCCAGGGGCCCAAGGGCAGCATCAGGGCCGAGACTGTCCCCGTCATCGTCTCACCCTGCCTTCCCTGGGGTTGGTCAGCCTTGGGTAGGTCTGGGTGGGACTCCAGGCTTCCACCCGGCAAAGTCTTACTGCCTGGCTTCAGTGGCAGCTCTGAAGCAGCCCTGCAAGGCTGGGCTGGCCCCGTGGTGGAGCGCGCCTGGCACGCAAGGCCCGGGGTCGAGCCCAGCCACCAAAACAAGGAAGAGCAAAGCAGGTCAACAGCCAGAGTGGCCTGGGTCTTAGAGTTGAGTCCTGGGATCTCCTCCCAAATCTCAGGCCCTGAGAGCCAGGAGGACATTTTCCCCAGGGAGACCGGAGGTGGACTCCTGCCTAGAAGGAGCAGGCAACAGCCATCCTGTGCATCTCATTCAAGCCCCATGCGCAAAGTTGACCCTTCAGTGGGTTACGAGGTCTGAGTGGGGATGTGACAGGCCCCGGGCACACAGCTGGCAGAGGAGCAGACAGGTCTGGGTGCTCCCTGGGGCCGCTGTGCCCATCTGGCCCGGCCTCAGGTCCGTTGTCCCCACCCCAGGCAGTGTACGGCGTGCTGCGGGTGATGGAGGGTCTGGAGGCCTTCGACGACCTGATGCGGCACACGCACATCCAGCCCTGGTACCTGCGGGTGGAGAAGGCCATTGCCGAGGCCCCCCCAGTGCACTGAGCGGCCCCGCCCGGCGGAGGGTAGCAGCAGAGGAGGCCAGCTGCTGGGAACCGGGGCCTGGCCAGGCCCTGCGAAGCTGTGTGTGCTGGGAGTGGCGGGGGTGTCTACCCGTGTCCGCCTCCCCAGCCTCGGACTCCTGAATGCCCGAAGGGCCTGGGTACTGGGCAGGGCCCGGGCTGGATCTCCCCATGACACCCGAGGGTCACAGGCTATGGAGAGCCCACCCCTCCTCCTCCCTCCTGCTCCCACCAGGCCCAGGTCCAGTCCTCCATCCTGGACCTCTTGCCCTCAGCCTTCTGGTGAGTTTCTTGGTGGCTGTCCTGGGGCCACACCCTGAGGGTGGGGTCAGCCTGGCTCCCACTGTGGATGCAGGCGGAGGCCAGTCAGAAGAGTCCCCTCCCCAGGCCCCAGGTTCCGCGGTTCCCAGGTGCTGCCTGGGACTGCTGGCACGTTTGCAATAAAAAAAAGTTTGCTGCTCCCCTGTTGTGTCCTGAGGTCCGTGTGGCCAGAGCGAGGGCCAGGCCACAGCAGTAACTGCCGTTGGTCTAGTGACTGCAGTCGGTGGGAGCCAGGTGGCTCACTGCCATGGAGTGACCCCAGCCTCCTTTCCTCATCTGTGAAATGGGTGCAGTAGCCCTGCTCACCAGAGAGTTGTGGGCGTTCAGTTGACAAGATATAGCGGGGCACACAGCAGGAGGCCAGCTCAGAGCAGGGTCCAGGTCCAGATGACCGGGTGGTTCAAACATGGTCCTCAGAGGCGCACTTTAGAGGTGACCTCTCTGGCTGTCAGCTGTAGGCTGGGGCGGGGTCTGTAGCCAGTGTCTTCCAGAGCAAGGGTGGGATTGTGGAGGGTCCCACCCTGAGCAGAGCACCCGGTGGGGTTCCTGCTCCCCAGGTGCCATTGAGAGGCGTGGCCTGTCAAGGGGGCCCCCAGAGGGCGGCCAGTGAGCTGAACTCTGGGCCCTCTGATGAGGGTGGACTGGGCAGCCCCCAGACCCTCTTGGGAAAGTCTTAAGATTTTACTTTATTAGTATTTTTAGAACAAAAATAGCATGTTCCTCATAATCACTGAAATCACAGGAGGTGGCGGGAGCCGCCCTGGAGCCTGGCCCTGTTTCCCCGGTGGGCTGCTGCGGGCATTCTGGGTCTACTTGTCAGCACGGGTCACTGTCTTGCCCTTCAGGGCCACCCAGTACTCCCTTTTGGGACACACCACAGGCCACTCGCCCTGCCCCTGCCCCTGCCCCCTCTGGGGCGTTGAGTGCCAGGCCCCCAGGCTGCGGGAGGAGGGAGAGGCGCCAGCCCAGAGCCAGGCCGGCCCGGCTACGCCTCCCTCTGCGTCCCCCCATCGTCCCCCACCTCTCACTTCCCTTCTCTTTAGACAGGCTATTTCTGCCCCTTTCAGATCCTGTCCAGGATTGTCCCCTGGTACATCTCTGGCACCAGGAGGCTGATTGGCCTCTGTCAGTCCCAAACTCTCCCAAAGGGGGCGTCTGGTGTGCCCCTCTTGTGATAAGCTGTCCACCTAGTGCCCACGACACCATGGGCACGGGAGTGTCCCTGCTGTGCGCCCTGCTCTCTCTTCTCTTCTCGGGCACACCAAGCCCTGGCTGCCAGACAGTGCCTCTGTCCGTCTACAAGACTTGGAAATTACATTTTCTCTCATCTTCCCGTTGCGTGGAAAGCAGCCTGGTTGGGTTAGTGGGGGGCCATGTGGGGGGGGCCATGCTGGGAGGCAGTGGCTCCTGGGGGCTTTTCTACCACCACCACCCCCTGCTCTGGGTGGGGAGGTGCTGGCATCTGTGGTATTCCAACTGTGCTAGTCAGATCCGATCCCTGGTTCCCTGTGACTGGCATTAGAGAATGGCTGGTCAGCCCATGGCCACCACAGGGCACCAATAGGGCCCAGCATCTTCCCGCAGTAACACCCGACACACACCAGAGGGGACCTTTTATAAATGCGGCTTGGGGGCTGGGGTTGTGGCTCAGTGGTAGAGTGCTTGCCTAGCATGCATGAGGCACTGGGTTCGATCCTCAGAACCACATAAATGTAAAATAAAGATATTGTGTCCACCTAAAACTAAGAAATAAAATAAATATTTWAAAAAAAATAAAAAAAAAATAAATGCGGCTTGGTAGTTTCCTTGGAGTTTTTCCTGTAGCCACCAGAGGGCGCTAGAGTCTGCAGCACCCTGCAGTAAACTGGACCCGGGCTGCCCCTGGTGGCCAATTCCGGGTCCACTCCCTGGGCAACCTTCATTGGTCAGGGACTCTATTTGCCCAGGCTCTGAAGATGAGCAAGTAGGAAAAAAACACATCTCCAAGATAAAAGTCCCCATGTCAGGAATTCTTACTCCATATTTTACATGCTCAGGTCACGTCTCTTGTCTTTTTGGGGGCGTACTGGGGATTGAACTCAGGCACTTGACCACTGAACCACATCCCCAGCCCTATTTTGTATTTTATTTGGAGGCAGGGTCTGAGTTGCTTAGCACTTCGCCATTGCTGAGGCTGGCTTTGAACTTGCCATCCTCCTGCCTCAGCCTCCCAGGCCGCTGGTATTACAGGCATGCGCCACTGCGTCTGGCACATGTCCTTTAGTGGCATAGGCCTGAGTTGGGACCCTGCCACTGCTAGCTGACTTTGGACAAGCCCCTTCCCTCCTGTGAAATGCATGAGTAAACCTCCTTGGTGTTGGTGAGGTCAGGGCTGGGGGGTGTTTGGAAGATGACATGTGAGGGCATTCAACAGCTGGTGGGTGCACTTCTGCCTCAGAAGAACGCATTTCCCACTGTATTTCTGGCTGGATTCCAGAGCTCAGGGTCAAGAGCAGCAGGAAGTGAGAACACAAGATCCCTTCTCCCTGGGAGCCAGGGAATCCCTGGGGACGAAAGCCCATGAGAATTCTGGTTTGCTTGTTTTCATTTGATTATGCAAATAATGTTTATTGTAAAGAAATAGAAATGGTTGATAAAAAGTTGATGCAAAATATTCACAGTCCATCTAGCCACTTTTGACATTTTGGGATATACAATTTTCTAGATTATTATTTTTTTTTTGTGGGGGGAAGGATACTGGGGGTTGAACTCAGGGGCACTCGACCACTGAGCCACATCCCTAGCCCTATTTTGTATTTTATTAGAGACAGGGTCTCACTGAGTTGCTTAGTGCCTCACTAAATTGCTGAGGCTGGCTTTGAACTCTTGATCCTCCTGCCTCTGCCTTCCGAGTCACTGGGATTACAGGTGTGCGCTACCGCGCCGGCTAGATTATTCTTTATGTAGCTCACATATCCTGCACACAAACACACATCTACTGTATATTAAGTATATACATGCAGTAGTCAATGAGGCCTATTTTGTGGCAACCCACTGTTTCAAATGCTTTCCAGGTGTTACTTCATTTAATCCTAAAAGATCCCTGAGATTGGGTCAAACATGCCCATTTTACATATAAGGAAACTGAGGCACCAGAGGATGAAGTCATTTGCTTTGTGTGGTACAGTTAATTAAGGGGCAGAGGTAGCAGGGAGACCCAGATCTGCTGGCATCAGTTTCTGTGATCTTTTTTTTCCTGGTTCTGGGGATGGAACCCAGGGTCTTGCTCACACTGGGCCTGCGCTGTCCCGCTGAGCCACACCTGGCCCTGTGCTGAAGTCTCTAGATTACAAACATATTCCAGGAGGTGGCTGTCCCCACCAATTCTAATGGCAGTACAGTTTTGCAGCTATTTCTTACTGCATTTAACCAGTCCAACAGGAAGGATGCTGATGGTGAGGTGTGTGAGGGGGACAGCGTGGCCCGAATACATCCACACCCTACTCCCTGCGTCATCCTTTCTGCAGGGAAGGGGCTTGTAATGTGACTAAAATGCCTTCAGAGATGGGGAGATTGTCCAGATGGGCCCTGAATATAATCACAAGTGTCCCCAGACAAGGGAGGGGTGGGGGGACTTGATGCAGAAGAGATGGGGTGGCAGAAGCACAGCAGCTGGAGGGGCAGGAACGGGTCAAAAGGAACACAGAAACCTCCAGAAGCAGGAAGGGGCAGGGAACTGGACCCCCACACCCAGCTCCAGAGCCTCCAGAAGAAACCCAGCCTGTGACCCTTGTGTTTCAGTCGGTGAAACTCACGTGACTTCACGGGCTTTTTCCAGAACTGTGAGAGACTGCACCTGTCCCTGGGTTTGTAGCAGCTGCCACCGTGAGACACTAACACAAATGCTATAAGCCAGGTGGAGTCAAGAGAATGGGCCAGCGGAGGATGAGGGTTAAGGCTGGGCCAGCTCCCTCTCCCCCTCGGCTGTTCAGAGATGATGGCCCCTCGGGGCCAAGGGCTGCCTGATGCGTGATAGCAAATGACCAAGGCACTCCCTCCTTGGCCTCTGCTCTCCTGGCCAGCCTATATCAAGAAGCCAAGAGCAGGAGGCGGTGGTTAACCTGGGGCCGTCGTCTCTGGCTCAGTTTACTCCTGCTCTACCTGCAGTGGCCCCCCACCTAGCCCTGGTGACCTCTCCAGCCACCAGCACCTGCCACTCTGGGCTAGTTGGTGCTTGGGGGCAGGGGCCAAGGTCCACTCTGGGCAGCTGGGCCCCAACCCCAGCTCCTCCTCTTCCCACCCTTCCCCTACATTCCAACCCGCTCAGACCAGTGAGGTCTGGATTGTGGGCAGCCAGCAGCCAGCCTCCCTGGAGAGCAGGGCTGGGGCCACACGCTGGTCTGAAGCTCAGCTTAACTTTGATCCTTCCTATGAAACTGGACAGCCCTCCCCCCTTAGAGCTGTAAGGAAGGTTCTGTGCCCATCTTGCTAATGAACAAACTGAGGTTTACCATGGAAAGCTAGCCTAGAGGCTCAGGGCACTGAGAACAGCAGAGAATGTGGCCCACAGAGACCCTCAGGCCCAGGAGGAGGGAGCAGCTAAGAGCCCAAGCGATGAAAGGGACAGGAGAGGCCAAATCCTAGGTAAGGTGGGTGTGAAGGCCTTGTGAAGGTGACAGGAGCTCAGACAGGACAAAGGGACAGAGGAAATGAGCTTGCCGCAGGGAGGCTGGCCCGAGCAGGCTACATGCATCAACCACCTGTAGTGTCCCCAGAGTTGGCCTCAGTGCTGAGGAGCCCTGGCCTCTAGCGCAGCSGGTTGAGGATGGATGAGTGGGGGCAGGTGGGAGGCTGGACAGCAGTTTGCCAAGACCCAAAAACTGGGGCATGATGAAGGCCTATCACCTTAGTATCAGGCACAGGAAGCCAATGTTGGCCGCTGCAGCCATGCCCTGGTGTCCTTGGCTCATGGACACACCCTTCCAGCCTCCCAGGCCAGTCTCTCCTCCATGGATCTGTGTCCTACATTCCCTCTTCTTGAAGGCCACTGATCACTGGATTTAGGGGCCCTCCTAATCCAGAATGAACTCACCCTAAACTGACTGTATCTGCAGTGATCCTGTTTCCAAGTAAGGCTATCTTCTGAGGTTCTGGGGGAGACA